TTTGTATGATTGCATTTTTTTGGAAATAAAGCTTGAATATATTGTGTCATATTTTTAATTTTAAGTGTTGTTAAATTAACTTGGCCTATGTGATTTCTATACAAGTACACCACATTAATAAAATATTATTGTTTCTTTTTTTTTATTTGTTTTTCTTTTATTTTTTTTTGGAAAAAAAATGAAAGTAAAATTCATCTCCAGTATCAAAACTCACAATACAAAGCGCTGAACTTTAGACCTACTTCTGCAGTTTACAAAGAACTAAACAAAGTGAATGATGAGGCTTCCAGTACAGTCAAGAATGAAACATTCTTACCATAAAAGATAAAATTTACGCTAAGTTTGATGTTATTTACAAGATGTAAAAGAATAAATACGGATTTGACGAATCCCGTAATAGGTGATTATACTAAGCAACCATTAAGTGTGTTAATTGGTAGAACTTTACACGTACAATTACCTCGTCATTTGGATAGATCATTAAGCCGTTGGTCTCAAGTATATGTGGCTCTGCCTACAAACACTATGCCTACAGTATTTGAGAAAGAGCAGACGAATATCCCACACGGAGTAGTGATAATTTTACATAGGCATATTAACTTGTAACGCTAAACGTGTTATGTAATTATTAAAATTAAATGCTGTTTTATGTCTAATCATTTGTGTGAAATCATAGAGAAAAACAGCAATCTTTGACCTTGTGTCTAATAAAATAAAATTAATATAGTACAGTATATATAAATCGTCACAATAACGTGAACATTATGAGCTTGTCTTCAGCATACAATACCGTTGATTTTGTTCTACGCAAGTGCGTCGAATAAATTCGACAATAAAAATTGAAATACTGTACTACCAATAAAAGTGTTTATTAATAATATCACCTAGAAACATGATTAAAAAAAAAGAAATAGAGAAAATTAATTTGGACTTAACCGCTAATAATAAATCGAGTGGTCGTGTGATGAGGCAAGGGCGCCGGTGTGCTGTTTCCAGCTGCTCCCCGCCCAGGGTTCGGTGGGTAAAACCAAGTCTTCTCGGATAAAGACTTATAATGGAGGTCCAGTGTATACATCTGGCTCGTGTGCACTTTAAAGAACCCACTGCGGCTTTCGAAAGAGAAGAGCTTACCTCGATGCGATGGTTCATTGATGTGAATTGATGAATAATGTGAACATGTAGCTACTATAAGCGCCACTTTTCGACCGCTTGTCCGGTAGTCAAGGACCACACCCATACCCATTTCAGCGCAATGACGCTGCGAATTATGGGTTATTCTTATAACTCCTACTTCCAATTAATAAATTAAATAAATAAATAAATGAGGCATCAATGTGATGGGTGCACATATGTTCTGGATTATATAGTTGAACAGCATAGGCAAACTTGAGAAAGGGATATATCTGAGATAAATAAAAGTTATATGATTAGTTATACGTCAACTTGGTATTTC